CATCAAAAAGTGTCCACGTTTTGTCCACGATTTATTTCCCATGAATACATGCGGGTACTATGATAACACTAACTACACCAAATGAAAGATTAGAGAAAATTTGCATTGCCTCCAGAAGGATTTATTTATTATGTTTTTTGGACACTACAGGTAGTTTTGAAATATCTGTTTGCATATCTTACCTTGTATCCTAATTCAAAATTTTGTAGTTTAATTAGAATATTTAGGTGATTGTATATATATATATATATATAATATTCAATATAAGAATAATCTATGCATGATCTTCTTGAAAGATTTCTGCAGTGTAAAGACATCTTCGTTTTTCATGCATGTCCGTGCTAACGCTACGGTAAAAACAAAAGGACAATATATCAATTAAAAAATAAAAACAAAACTCATGCTCAAAGTCAAAGAGATAAATTATGGATGCTTGAATTTTGTCATCCATTATCTACCGGCGTGCCTATAAAATAGACTGAATAAACCATTAAACATAGATAGAAAACTAAATTAATGAAAGAATCATTGCAAGACATTAATCATCTCATAGCTTCGGATAATATCGCAAAGCTACTAAAAACTATAACCGTGCCCCCACCTCAAACATTGTCTAGATAAATGGATTACAATGAAAGAAATGGATATCGGAGATTTCTTTCTGCCAATATAAAACATTATCTTAGCCGCATCATAGAAAGGTCTATAAAGTAGAGTTTGTGAGCCTGTGACGCCACGCACTCTGTGACTGTGTTAAATTCATAAACTTTGTTTTTTGGATTAAATGTCACTTTAACGTTGGTATTTAATTTTTACAGTATTGTTATCTTATCGTGCGATCGGTGTGTTTTTAGTATAAATTGTTAGTTATCCCATAGCAACGCACGGGCACGCTACCTAGTACAGAATAAAGAGTTTCCTGATTGGTTCAGAGAACATGTTGGTATCATGGTTTGTTTTTTATTCAAAATAATAGGAAAAATTGACTTGAGTATATTTTGTGATGATACAGATCATGCAGTTGGAGCAAAAAAATGGTAGCGATAGCATCAATGTGGACATTAGATGGTTGGCTCGCGGCCCATTGGATGCAGCAAGCAGACACAGAGCCTTTAGCATCCGTGGTTTCAGATTTAGAGCCAAATGTTATGACAAGGCGACGCAAAATAGTGGAGTTGTTGTGACTGCAAAAACATCAAGTTATTCTTCTGGAGGGGATACTAACCCTATCCTTGGAGATATTACCTACTACGGAAGGATACTTAATATAGTCAAGTTAGACTATTATGGAAGATTCTCAGTGGTGTTGTTTAAATGTGAATGGATCGATGTCACTCGAGGAAAGGGAGTGAAAACAAATAAGTTTGGCTGTACACTTGTGAATTTCTCACAGCAAATTCACAAGGGTGACAGGATTGAGCATGAGCCTTTTGTATTTGCCAATCAAGTTGACCAAGTGTTCTATGTCAAAGATGATTATAACAACCCAGGATGGTCAGTTGCATTGAAGATGAAGCCTAGAGATGTATTTGAAATGGGAGAAGAATGGAATGATGTAGAATGTGAACCTTATCATGTCAGTACTCTTGATGACCTTTTTGCTAATTCACATAATAGTCATTCATGGACTAGAAGAGACGTAGAGGGTACAACTGTAGAGGAAACAAATATAGATCCCAGTATAAGTTCTGATGAAGAAGATTAATAGCTCAACAAAATTAAAGGTGAGATATGTTTGATTTTTCTACTATTCAATATTGTATAGTTGTACTAAGATTATGTACCAGCTGACAAGTTTCTTTAACTGTTTGTATTATTCAGGTCATGGTCCAGAAACCAGCATCATCGCTGCAACGCATGAACATCTTGAGCTGTTTGCCAAGTTGTAATTTTGTGTATTCCTATGAGTTTTTTCTCTACAAAACTTCAATAAACATGATGTTCAGTGTTTGACAGTTTTAGATTTGTAAATTCAGAATATAATTGTATGGGGTCACAAGTTGTATGGTGTTGGCAAAACAGAGATCACATTTGAAATTTGAGATTTCATAATATAATTGTTTATATGTCCATCATAAATCCAGTGGCAACAGGCCCATCTTCTCAGTCGGCAGGAAATATATTGAAAAAAATATTAGCACTGTGAAGGTATAAGACTGAAATCAAATGGCTGTAGGTGCGCCACAGCTTAGGTGCGATTTCTGAAAAACAAAAAAAAACACCTTTCAAGATTTGATTTCTAAAAAACAAACAAAAAACAAAAAACTGCTTTCATATGGATTTGAACCCACAACCCCAACAAACTAAACAGCTCTCTACCATTAGGCTACACATGGTTTTGTTAGGATATTTAGGACATTGATTTTTTTATTACATTTCGTAACCTTGTGATAGGCTGCATGAAAGACTTCGTAACTTTCTTATATAATGTTCGATGAAGACGAATTTTGTACCAAAGTTATAGTACTTTTTTGAGATTTACAACTTTGTAGTTCAAACTTTTTTGATTTAAGATTGTTTGGATATCCAAATATGTATCATAAGATATTATAGAGTTGATACCAAAGAAGTCCAGATGCTCTAAAGTCACAAGTCAGTGTCTAGTGGTAGAAAAGGATCTCGGATAGACAAACAACCAAAATAAAAGTTGTACATCTCGAAAAGTTATAAAACTTTATAGTTCACAACTTTTTTATTTAACATTGTTTTGTTGTTGAGTTATTTGTTTCATCAGATTTAATAGAAGTCAATACCAAAGGAATCCATATAGTCTATAGTCATAATTGAGTGTGTAGTTGTAGTTAAGGATGTCGGATGGAGAAGCGACCAAAACAAAAGTTGTAGCTCTCGAAAAGTTATGCAACATTGTAGTTGACAACTTTTTCGTTTGAAATAGTCTATCCAACGAAGATTACATTTAAATTCTCACATTTCAAATTCGATTGTTTTAAACAACCTCGCATGGAGAAACGACCAAAACAAAAGTTGTAGATCTCAAAAAGTTATGCAACTTTGTAGTTGACGACATTTTCATTTAAAATCATTTATAGAGTGAAAATTATGGCCAAATTTCCTTACATTTGAAATTAAAATTTCCCTACGGCCTCGGATGGAGAATTGACTAAAACCAAAGTTATAAATCTTAAAAAGTTACAAAACTTTTTAGTTAACAACTTTTTCATTTGAATTCGTTTGTAGTCCCAAATACTCATTTAATTTGGATATAGCACTATTAACCATATTTTATTTTTTTCTTGCGCAAAAAACATATTTTAATTTAGATTCGATTTGCTTGATAGAAAGTATCAATTTAATGTAATTTAATTTGCTAGGCCCGATTAAATGCCTGAGTAATTTTCAGATGTCTTACTTTATTAGCTATCAGATTTAAATGCTAACACTAAACTAATAATATAAATTCATCGTAATCACAAGTTTTTTGTTTTTCCTTTTATGGCGCCCGCCATTCTTTCCCTCGTAATCACAAGTTAGTAATTTTTTTTGGTCATGTTTTGCTCCCGCCATTTCTTTCCCTCCATTCTTTTTTATTTCGTACTTTTTTCCTCCCGCACAGCTAATCTGTTTTTATTACTCGCGCTAATTCTTGAGAAGTCTAATAGTGGACCCACCCTTCATAGAGACAAGCTAGAGAGGACTACGTGAAAACAGCACAGAACCGCCCCTTGATTGTGGATCTCGTTAGTTATCCCAGCTGAATCATGGTTCCTTTTCTTTTATTATTTTCCATCGCACAAACACAACTCCGTACCTCTCATCTTCCTGCTGCAAACCACTCCGCCACCACCGGCGCAGCAGCGGCGCTGTGTCCCCACACCAGCGCCAATGGCTGCACCGTGCCACCACAGGACAACGCCCACGTGCCCCGCGCCCTCGCCGGTCCCTGTCGCCGCCTCCAAAGGTCACCGTCGTTGGTCCCTGTTGCCACCTCAGGAGAATGAATGGCGTTGGATCGATCCCTTCTTCCGTGCAGCACAGCGATGATCTGAGCTCACTTCTTGGCCGCAGGTTCGTAGCACTCTCCTGGCTTCTGCCTACCTCCGCTTCTTCGCCGCTCACGACGAGTTCGCGCCGCCGCAGCGTGCGCGGCTGGTCGATTCCGTGCGTGGCTCGATGATTCCTAAATTTTAGAATTCTACTAGAAACTAAGAGCGGCGTTGCCGCGCGTCTCCCTGTGTCAGATCAGCCCGTGATGTGAGATGAGTCCATCTGAAGATGATCAAAGACGATCAGTGTGTGTTGCCCAGCCTTTGCGCCAAACTGACCAATGGAGGATATTTTCGTGTTTGAAATGAGTTGACGATGTGTTGTTTGGCGCATGCTTGTCTGAAATCAAGCTCGAAAGTATAATAGCAGTTCGTACAATAATAAGATCTAACATTTCCTTACATTAATTACTCACATTGAGGCACATTTTAATCATTTTCCATTTATCACTGCTGAATCATTTCTATGTAAAGGCAACGCTTACAGTCTCATCAAGCAATCTTCAACACAGAACAATCATGAGCACCCTTGATTAAAAAAAAAGGACCAACCAATAAATAGCTATACCAGTCTCTGCTAATCAGGTAGGGGACATTTGCAGCATGCAGAAATTTCAGGCCTAATTCAACGAATGAAATTGAATGCCAAGAACAATACAGCATACCTGTTGCTGACCACCCATTGGCATGAGCTGCTGCATTCCACCCGTGCTAAAATCCAAACATCCATTGGATATGTACCTGAAAAAGCATCGGCTGCTGCAGGACATGGAACCCACAAAATCCAGTCAGGCACCATCTGGGACCTGCATCTGTTGCTAGCATAGAATTCCAACTCTCTCCGACTCAGCTGGTCTACTCTAATTCATAATATGTTTGTACCCATCTATTTCTGAATACAACAGGGCTAATTACTAATATTAGTAATGTTCTACTCTAATTCATGTTGTGAAGTGGATATGGCAAGGGGTAGAAGAAAACAGATAATCTAGAGCCATGATGAGTATATGTCAGAAGAGCATATTGGACAAGAGAGTCATGGGCAAAATACTGAGGTATCTGAACTTCATTGAAGTGCTAGAGGAGATCAGATCGATAGTGATGGTGATATTGAGGTTAATTTACACGGTACTTACTAACCTACTTTTAATTTTTTTATTACTAACAGAATGTGTTATCTGTGAAAGTGTTTATCATTGTATATTTTGTGCAATGTAACACTGAATAGATGAAACTGAGGACAGAGTAAAGCGTGGAAAGACAAAATTGAAAGATATTTGGAACCTTCCAAAAGGTCATAGAATCGTGGTTAGATGCAATGAGTTCGATCAACCAGTTGGAGTAGAGGCTGGATTTCTAGGAAAATTTCTTGGCATGGTGGCTAGGAATGGTTGCTTGTGTAGCTTGAGCTACAAGGATTGGAGGCATCTAATAGGAAAGAAAGAAAAAAAAACACTGATGAACAAAAAAATAAGAAGGATATACTTAAGCAAGTGAAGGTACATAGTTCAGCTAGACATCGTATAACCTTGTTGGTAACTTTTGATACTTCCCTTTTTTACTTGTCTTTTGTTATTGGTATATACAGATGAGATTCCTGTACCCTTATCGCATGGAAAAATGGATACTTCGAACCATTGGAGAGAGATGGAGGGAGCACAAGTCTAATCTGAGATCAATATATTTTGATGAGCATAAGAGCACAAAAGCTAACCATAGTAATGTTCCTAACGGTATAATTGCTGACCAGTGGATTGCGCTTGTTGATAATTGGACGACTCAAAAAGCACTGGTACATGGATATTGTTGGATTTATATTTATGTGTTTTCATTGCCCAATAGATTTTTTAAACATTCACGGAACTTAAATGCTTTTCTCTACCTCATCATTATATGATAGGATATAAGTAAGAAAAACAGAGTAAACTGTACAAAGAAGAAGTCAACACATACAACTGGAACAAAGAGTTTTGCTCGAAACAGAGAGGAGTCGGTAATTTTTTTACAACTCTAACTGTGTACTCTTGCTGCATCTCTATGGTAGTGATTATTAAGTTCTTTATATCTCTTTTTCATGTTCACAGAGAGAAAAAGATCCTGAAAAGAAATACCCTCACAGGGCTGTTTTGTATATCCATACACACCAGACTAGAAGTGAGAAGAACACAAATGCACATGTGGTACATTATTTGTGAATGCTTCATCTTTGATTGTTTACATCACTACTTTTTCATGTTATTTTTATTCATTTTAATTCATGTTGGTGCTACGCATAGGGGGATTTGAAGGAACTTATAGTGCAGCAGCCAGGTTTAGCGGAGACCAGTCAAGGAAAGGTTGCATGGAAAGGAGATGCACTTAGTAAAATATTAGGAGAAGAAAAGCCTGGCCATGTGCATGGCTTGGGACTTGTTCCAAATCCTAATCAAGTGTTTGACGTATCCACTTCAAAGCGCCTTAAGAATGTAAATTTGACTTCACTAGATGCAACATCAAGTGAAGATGTAGTATCTTTGAGACTTCAACTAGAGAAGCATGGCCAGCATGTCCGGAATCAAGATTCCACTATACTACAGCTGCAACAGAAGACAAGAACCTTGGAACATAAACAAATCCAACAGGTAAATTTTAAAAAATCCAATTCTAAGCATTTCCTACACTAAACTTCTGATTCCTTGACATAGGGATGTTTAGATGATCCTGTCTATGCACCTAAAGATGGCTATTGTGCTTATGTGCCAAATCTAAACGAAAAGTAAGTACGCCTCTGAAAAATGACAAAACAACAATCTACTGCAAATTTCTTTTTTTAATAGCTGGCTCTAATTTATTGTCATTTGTCTATCAACAGCGAGTATATAGTGACCCTCAAAATCAAGATTCCAGCATGGATGAACAACTGAATGATACAATGGTACAATTGAATTGGATTTTTTATACCAGATTTATGTCAAATATTTATTTGTTTTAGTTCACTGCAGAATGGGCAAGCTGACAATGTGGAGGATGATGATCTGCAGCCACATTACAAATACCTTAGTCTTGTAGAGAAGGTATGCACACTAATATGGATGAGAACTTTTTACCATGGTTGGCACTGGAAAGCTACAACTAGAATTTTATGCTGTCATTTAACTGTGACCTATGCCTTGCGCTTGCAGAGGCAAAATGTTATGAAGCAGAGAAAAATAGATATTGTTAGCTCAAAGAAACAGGTAAGGACAGCTATTTTTTCAGTGACTAATCATTGTAAGGTATTTTGGTTAAAGATTCTTTTGGTTCCTCTGTAAAGAAGGTGGCTGAGCACTCATCTGAAGCCACAAATCTGGACTCATCTACCCCAGCCACAATAAATATTAGCTTACAGGTAACTATTCATGAAGCACTAGCTGTAGATTTTCTTTTAGACAAGTTTCTGCAATCCCTGTTTCAACTTTAGTCATTAGTGTTTACTTCATGCTTTATCGTGACAGCTATCTGGTGTGCCTGTCTTGTTGACCTGATTGATTACTTAGAAAAAACTCATGAATTTTTGTTAGGCTGAACTGATAATACCATATTATTTACTTACATATTAGGGCACATGGCCTTAATAACCTATCTCTGTTCTGATTCCATTTTGTCAGTGAAAGAAAATATTAATTTATTCTTATTCACTATAGACGGAGCAAGATGATTATGTGGAGCACGAGGATCTGCCGGCACATTACAAATATAATTGAACTAAAGATAAGGTTTGCACACCAAACTGAACACATGGATGTAAAGCAATATATTATGTTTATTTTACTGGATACCTTTATTGCCACTGCTTTTTGACTTTCCTGACATGTGTTTCTTTCTAGAACAAAGATAGTATAGTACTGAATGACAATATAGTGTTAAATTTTATCATATCTTTAGTAAGTGGATCATTTCTACTAGACCATACCTTTCCGCAAATTGACTAGTAATTTCTATTTAATTACGGGAAAAACATATCCACAATGATCTTATGTTGGATAAAAGCAAGTGTACTAATGAAATCAAGGTGTTGTATAAATAACTCTTTGTCCTATGAAGTTTATCAAATTGTTGTATTTGAACTAGCACATATTACAGATTGTTGATCAAATTGTTGTATTTAAACTAGCACATATTACAGGTTGTCGCAAAGGAAACATCTGCTACTCCCTCAAATTTTGAAGCATCTGACTACCAAGTAAATATTGTTTTAGCAATGATATTTTTGTTGCATGCTTATTTTACACTATTAAGTTATTTTTGTTGCATGCTTATTTTACACTATTAAGTTATCTGTTTTGACTTGTTTCTAGCAGAACAAGATCTCAACAACGCCTAGTGCAACAGTACCTGCTAGTGTATAAGACACATCTCTTAAAACTTCATATTATCCCTTTCTTAATTGTTCTTACAACTGGAGTCTAAGAATCCCCTCATATACTTTTGTAGAAACATCATCGTGGCACAACAAATTGGTCAACTGGCAATTCAATGACGGTATGATTATTTGATTTCTTGCAAGTAGTCTGATCTGTTATGAACTTTTTTTTTTTGCATGCTTACATATGTGAACCAGGTTGGCACCAAAGTATACTTACAGAGCTGGAAAAATCAAAATAAAATCGTCGCATTGGGTACAATAGTAAATTGTGATCCAACACATAAACTTGATGGTGTTCAACTAGGCAAAGAATTTTGGATGGTTCGTGTTAGTTTTGCTGTGGTACATGATGAACCATTGATACGACCATACAAAGGCTACAAGGTAATTGGAGACATAGAAGAGGAGTTACTGTTGCATGGCCTTCAACTTTTGTACGGTCTTTTCTATAACCCAATATAATTTTAGTTCCCATAAGTGTTATATTAAATTAATCCAACTTTCATATGTAGATCAAGAAGATAAATATATGATCACATTAGTGGAATGCTAGACTAAAGTGAAGGAAGGAGAAAGGACGGCTTATATGTTTTATATTTTGCTCACATAGGAACTTATACTCTGAACAAAAATGAAGTAATGAATTATGTGGATGGTACTCATTGTAATGCAACAAATTCTTTATATATATATATATATATATATATATATATATATATATATATTGATAGTAATTAGGATTGCGTGGAATCGTAGATGAATTGATTGGAGAGGAGAGACCTATGTACATATATATAGGAGAGGAGATCTGGTGGCTTATAGAAATAGGACCTGCCGAGATCTCCTCCTGATATCTCTCTAACCATATATAGGGCTGGCCGGCTATACTAGGCACACTCCCAACATATACACACGCACAACACATATATATTCTAACATCCTCCCGCAGTCACAGCGTCGATGGAGCGAATGTTGAGACTGGATCAAAACTCCGTGAAGACAGCAGTGGGCAAGCCTTTGGTGAAGATGTCGTGAACCGAGGCGTCGTTGGGACGTGAAGAACGCGACACAGACACCTAGGCCACTCGTTCTTGAACGAAGTGAAGATCAATCTCAATGTACTTGGTGCGCTGATCTTTGAACGGGTTGGAAGACATATATACGGTCTTGATGTTGTCACTGATGAGACCAAAGTGGCATGGTGCGAGGTGTATGCATTTCGGACAACAATCGTCAGTATCCAAGAGGCTTGACAACGTTATTGGCGGCATCGCACAATACAAACCGCACTAGAGCGGGATATTGTATTTTGGCGCTTGGAGGACCAGGAGATAGATTGTCCCCTAGAAACAACTGCGTAACTGATGTGGACTTACGAGTGTCGGGACATCCACCCAATCCGCATCGAGTAGACAATGAGATTAGGTGCTTTGGAAGGCGTAATATGTAAGCCCAACTCCAAGGTGCCACGAACATAGCTTGAGAATGCGCTTCAAGGTCGCAAGGTGAGGCTCACGCGGGTCATGCATGTGAAGACACACTGTTGTTGCGGCATAAGCAATGTCCGGCCGTGTGAAGGTGAGGTCTTGCAAAGCTCTGCTAGACTCGAAAATCATAGGATCTGCAATGGGAGCGCCATCGGTGAAAGTTTGGGGTTGATGTCAACCGGTGTGAAACAAGGCTTGCGATCCCGCCATACCAGCCCGGTCTAGTATATCCAACATATACTGATGTTGGGACAAGAAGAGTCCACAACTAGTGCGTTGTACCTGCATGCCCAGAAAGTGATGGAGTTCTCCCAAATCTTTCATAGAGAAGTCACGCTGAAGAGCTGCAATGATGTCTTCAAGCAGATCCGTTGATGAATGGTCGGCACAATATCATCCACATATAACAGGAGATAGGCAATCTCTGAACCCCGTTGATAGACAAACAGAGATGTATCCGTCTTAGCCTCAACAAAACCCAACTGGAGGAGAAAAGAGGCGAACCTGCTGTTCCAAGCATGAGGCGCCTGTTTCAGGCCATATAGAGACCGATTTAGGCGGCAGACGAAGTTTGGGCGATAGGTATCCTCAAAACCAGCTGGCTGGGCACAATAGACGGTCTATGAGAGTGTCCCATGGAGAAATGCATTCTTCACATCTAGCTGGTCAACTGGCCAGCTGCGGGAGACTGCCAAAGAAAGAACTGTGCGAACGGTGGCAGACTTCACAACAGGGCTGAAGGTCTCGTCATAGTCAATTCCAGGGCGCTGTGTAAAGCCACGAAGAACCCAGTGAGCCTTGTAACGCTCGAGAGAACCGTCTGCTTTGAGCTTGTGCTTAAATATCCACTTGCCAGTCACTACATTGGAGCGCGGGGGTCGCGAAACAAGATCCCAAGTGTGGTTGGCAAGTAAGGCCGAGAACTCCTCCTGCATAGCTGCACGCCAATGAGGATCAACAAGGGCGGCCCGATATGTCTGTGGAATCGGTGACAAGGTGGTCGCCTGAAGTGTAACCGGTTGTCGAAAACCAGATTTCCCACGTGTCCGCATGGCATGCTGGTTGGCCACAGGGATGATGGGAACTGCCCCATGAGGGAAAGTAGCAGTGACATCCGATGGCGGAGGAGGTGAAGTAGTCGAAGTCGGCGACGGAGGAGGCCGCGGTCGATGGCTGTACGTCAACCGAACTGGTGGCACCGGCGCCTGGGCAGCCAAGTCAGGCAGAGGAGGCTGAGGGCGCCGACTGTAGACGTGACTAGCCCAGCGCTGAAAGCTAGGCGGAGGTCCACTCGGGCGAGGTGGTGATGCTGCAGGGCCGGCCGATGCCGAGCTGAGGCTGCCGGGTGGTGAAACCCTACTGGGCACTAGCGGGCTGGCTGTCGAGGGAGCGGGTCCAGCCAGTGTAGGGGCGCCATAGGCCAAAGGAGCAGCAGCACGCCATGGGGCGCTGCTCCCGGGGTGAACAGCCGCACATGGCTGTGCGGTGGCGGCGCCAGAAGAACCTGCAGGCATAAAACATGATGGCACTGGGGAAGCCACCAGTGGGTCAGTAGAGTCCAAAAACTCGAAGTCCTGGGGGGTGGGACGAGTGGTGTCCTCTGAGAAGGGAAACGATGACTCATCAAAGACAACATGCCGGGAAATGATGATCCGGTTGGAAGACCGGTCGAGACAGCAGTAGCCTTTATGATGAGGAGAGTAACCAAGAAAGACACACAAGGAGGAGCGGGGAGCGAGTTTGTGGGGGGCGGTAGCAGAGAGGTTGGGGTAGCAGCGACAACCGAAAACACAAAGATGCTCATAGGATGGAGGAGCCCCATAGAGAACCGTATGGGGAACTGAGAAATTGAGTGCCCTGGTTGGAAGAATATTAAGGAGTGTGGCGGTGGAAAGAGCCTCAACCCAGTAGGCTGGTGGGACACTAGCCTGAAAAAGAAGGGAGCGAACACCATTATTGATAGTGCGGATAATGTGTTCAGCTTTACCGTTCTATGAAGATGTATATGGGCAGGACATGCGTAACTGGACGCCATGAGAAAGAAAGAAAGCGCGGGAAGTGTGATTGTCGAACTCGCGGCCATTGTGGCACTGGATGCCCTAAACAGTGACACCGAACTGTGTAGTAACATAGGCAAAGAAGTTAGACAGTGTGGAAAAGGTGTCGGACTTTAGTCGTAGCGGAAAAGTCCAGAGATAGTGCGAAAAATCATCGAGAACAACAAGGTAATACTTGTGCCCAGAAACACTTGGAATTGGTGATGTCCACAAATCACAGAATTGAAAAATATGAGTGGTTCTGGAGGTAGACGCATGAAAAGGTAAACGAGTATGACGCCCCAACTAGCAAGCATGACAAAGTGTATGACTAGCACTATTATTACATGGAATGGCAGATGACTGTGCTAGCCTAGACAAGACCTCATGACCGGGATGACCAAGACGCTGGTGCCAAAGTGAAGGACTAGAGGCGGCGAGGAGAGCAGAGGCGGACTCCGGAAGCTACAGTGGGTAAAGAGGACCGGAGCTGTCACACCTGACGATCTCTCTCCGAGAATGAAGATCCTTCACAGAACAACCAAGAGGGTCAAACTCCACAGAACAGTTGTTATCGGAAGTAAACTGGCGAACCGAAATGAGATTCTTAATAAGACCAGGTGAAACAAGGACATTATTAAGATGAAGATTGTTAGGTAAAGTGGTAACGCCAGTGGAAGTAACGGGAAGAAGATCCCATTACCGATAATAATATGAGATGGAAAAGATGAACGTGGAGTATGAGGAGTAGTAGTTATACCAGCATCTGAAGTCATATGATTAGAAGCCCCAGAGTCAAAGTACTAGTTGGTGGAGGGGGGCTCTTTGGAGCGACATTGTCTCGGAAGTTGGACGTAAGTCGAGGCATCCCATCTCGAACAAATGGGGCTGTATAGGCCGGTGGTGGTATGCGCCCATCGCCGCACACCGGGTGAACACCCCAGCCCTATTGGGCGGCGCGCCGCCAGCGCATGGGGTACCGCTGGCCACCGTTTGGCTTTGTACACCGCCCGAAGTGCTTGAGGATGTGGGAGCATCATTGGGCGGGGTCGAGCCACATGTTGATGGTCCCAGCCCATGGTTGATGAAGATTGGGCGGTCGGAGGACCCCGAAGCTCCTGGAGCAATGGGCTGATCACTGGTGTTCATTGCCTGCCACATTTGCCGCCACCACGCTTCCATGGCCGGCACGCTTGCCCCCACCCCCCACCCCCATTGTTGAAGGGCTAAGGCGGCGCGCCGCCGCCTTCTTTGTGTAGGCGCGGGTGAAGGTGCGATTGGAGCGAAGGTGGTCGCGAACCGAGAGATGCTGTAGTAGCAGTGGTGAGCGATGTTGTGGCGCCGTCGCCTCCATGTTGAGCTCCTCGAGAAGGAGATCATTGCGTGCCTACAGGAAAGTAGGGAAGGGGCGCCCACGACGAAGATGAATGCCAATTGCCTTGAACCGACCGTTGAGACCT